TACATCAAAGTTCCGATATCTGATTTCACTACAATCATTAACTGTCCCATTTGATCCRTCAATGTCAATAGTCTCTGGCTTGCGAGGGATCCACATATCAAATTCCCCCATCCAGTTTTGGATGGTATTWATAGGAACAACAATAAGAACTTTCTTGGCTGGRGTATATCGAAGGAAAATGTCAGTAAAGGCAACYACTTGCAAGGTTTTTCCAAGACCCATTGAATGGGCCAATATACAACCAAACCCTGCGCTGACATGATAGCGAGCCAAGGTTTCAATAAGGTTATCATACAAAAACCGAATTCCTCCAATCTGAAAAGAWAACAGTTACCTATGATGATTGTGAAAGATAAATCTTTACATAGAGAGGATAAGTTAAAGGAATCAAAATATATGTAGTACAATAGGATAGCTGGATATAACAGTAGAAATACAACATAAACATCACAAAAAGCAACTGTAATTGTAAAATGTGAAGATATGTCTGCTGAGTGAAGAAAACAAACAAATCAAAGCGAWCCCCTTAAATCTGCCCCTACAGCTTAGCTCTCCACCTGGATCTGCACCTCTACTCCTCCCTAAATCTGCACTTATATTACTGCCCCCCTCCCCCCCATAGATCTTCCTTTACACTCCTTCCTTCCTTGATCTCCCTACACTGCAATAGATTCCCATACCTGATGAGGCTTTACACATCTAGCAATTTGAGGAGCAAGAAAAATGTCATCTTCTGATAGAGGATGATCCGTATTTACTAAAACAGAACCATTTTGGTTGGGTACATTAAACTTATCATCTGAATGTAATCCAACATTGTTTTCATCAATATCGCTATCTTCTTCAGTGTCACTTTCATCTGAWTTCATGCCATCACTTCCATCGTCTGACCCTGAGCTTATCACTTCTATATTATGCTTATTACTGACATCATTGGCATCATCATCACTATCAATGACTATTACTGCTGACTGCTGTTTTGTCTTCTTGCGAAAATCAACCACTACAGGGGACTGGGAGATACAAGAATCAGAGTTACAAGGGGGGGTTGTGGAAACAGGATGAGCACTTTGTCCCTCTGTAGCTAAACTTTTTTGTAGCTCAAGTCTCCTGAGGCGTTCTCTCTCCTCCAACTGAGCATTTAGCGTTTCTCTATCAAGTTGTGACTCGTCAAGTATTTTGCGAATTTGCCGCCTTTTTGTATTYTCTTTTTTCTTTCTCTTGCGTTTTTTTCTTGAAGACGTATTCACCTTTGATTTATCAGACACAACGCTGTTATTTTCCAGTTCTTTATTTTCATTTTCTGGACGTTCGTCTTCGTTGTTTTCCTCAACATCAGCGTCATTGTCGTCCGTCTCGTACTCCGACTCYTCATTACTTRCCTCATCGTCTTCAACATCTCCGGCAATCGACAGCTCMCCATTTTCTTTGTCGGCCACGAAATTTTCCATWGTTTARAAGAAATCAATAAAGTAACATACAAGATTGATTAGACCGTATAGATTTTTTGCAAACATCGTAAAATATAACTAGAGATAACAAAGCGTTCACTCATTAATTACGCATCGTCAGAATTATCCATTCGATAGTTCAACATAATGAAGATATTGAGAAGGAGCTTAACTGGTAAAAGATTGTTGAAAGTGAGGATTTTCCCCTAGAACGACAAATAACCACGTCAATTTCACGCTTTTCCACTAAAATTCACAGAGCACGAGTTGTTGCTTGGTAGCCTGTCGATGGCGGGAAGGCTTGGATTCRCGGCAGGCATTAAAGTAAATGTTTTTGAAATAATTACTACCTTTTACACGATCAAGAATGCACTACAAAAAGACAGACAGCAAATACTTCAAAAGATCTGCGTCCCATGCCCAAAAGAATGCAATAATGGAAAGGAAATTGTTAGTATAAGATTTGGATCCAGTGCGCGCATAAAATTTAGCCAAGCGGGGCATGGGTCGAGCATTTGTTCCAAGATGGCGGATGACATTGCAAAAACAAGTGCGCCTCAAGAAAAAACATCTTGTACATTCTTCAAGAAGTCGAAAAACAGAAAAAATGTACGTAAAAGACAAGCAGAAAACTCTGATAGCGATGATGGGGAATCAGCAGTCATTTTGCGCAAGGAAAAAAGATCGAATACGTCGAATCCAATGATCCAAAGAACTGAAGGACTCAAAGACAAGAAGGAAAATATCCAGGTAGAATTTGAATCAACYCGATCGGCGATGAGCGCTGGTCCTACTGACCTTGGAGCTACAGCGACGTATGAATTAGATACAGAATTTGATAGAGATGCACAAGCCGTGTATGCCAAATCATTGGAAGTGAATAAAGAAATCAAAGAAAAAGAAGCTGATGATAAGGTTTACAGAGGCTCTAATAACTACATTCAATACTTTGAAAAGAAAGATACAGCCCTTGGTAATGCTGCTAGCGGCATGGTCAGGTAATTGCGTAACTATGTATTTTGGGATCCCTGTGTTTTGTTCATATATAATCTCTCGGGTGTTCAGCTACGTAGTCTAGTTACAACAAAAGTACCCATCCTTAAACTGTCATGTTCTTTTTTCATAGGCAAGGACCAATTCGAGCACCAAAYAACCTACGTGCTACAGTCCGCTGGGACTACCAACCAGATATCTGCAAAGATTARAAAGAAACTGGGTTTTGTGGTTTTGGTGATAGCTGTAAATTTCTCCATGATCGTAGTGACTATAAACATGGCTGGCAACTTGACAGAGAGTGGGAACAAGGGAACTTTGATAATGAAGATCCACATAAGTATGAAATCAATAGCGATGATGAGGAAGAAGAACTGCCATTTGCCTGTATAATATGCCGTAAGACATTCGTCAACCCTGTGGTTACTAAGTGTAATCATTATTTCTGTGAGAYGTGTGCACTAGATCGCTACAGAAAGAACTCTAAATGTTTTGTGTGTAATACTCAAACATATGGRGTATTTAATCCTGCCAAGAGTATTATCAAGAAAATGAAAGAAATGGGAGTCGAAAGGGAAGAGGATGAAACTGATGAGGATGAGGAAGAGAAAGAAGATACAGAAGATTAGTTGCTAGGATACTCATGTGTACAYTTGATCTGGAGGTTCTTAATTCGTTGTGATTTGATACCAACCATACATGTGTACAAATAATTATCATAGCACCAGGATAATGACAAAGAAAACAATAACTCTTCAATAGCTGTTTGTTCACTATTCAAAAAACCACTACATCATTCTTATACACATCAATTCTTCTTGTCCAAGTTTCTTAACAAAMTATTAATCTRGTCTATGACTGTTTGCAAAACTAWCAAGAAAACATCATTACAATTATATATTTCTAAATGCTTTTAACTCTTTACTAAGACCTACAGTCAACTCTTTCATTTCATGAAAGTCATCATACGTTTTGCATAACGAAACCTTAAGTTTTTCAAGCTCAGATATGATAGCGTCAAAGTCACAGACAGTCTTGTGATGGGAGWGYCTRCTCTTAAGGTTCGTGTTTGTGACTTTAACCGCAGAAGTAGATTTATTTATATCTTTCCTTGTACTACCAGRGGCTGACTCCTCACCATCAAGAAGTGTGTCGCAGTTTGATTGAAGCTCTTGGTTCACATTGACAGTTATAATATSKTGGTTCATGACACCACCTTTTTGAATTTCTTGTAAGTCCACTTTTAMTTTGTCRGTAGGCTTGCTTTCAGCTTCATTAGTSGAYAATATGTCCGTTAACAAAGTCTCAATTTTTGTYTCGCTTTTTGTAAAAGATTCTTTTCGATCGGCAGCATTTTGACTTTTCCTGCGAGGTATTTTTGACTTCGGAATTGGACTTTCTTTTTTYTCTTCAATTTTTCCTTCACTATTATTCACAACTCGAATTGGAATTTGACTTCCTGAAACTTTCCTTTGTCTGTCAATGGTATTTTCTGTTTTTTCAGTGGTATTTTTTCCAGCTATTGGCCGCGGAAGTTTTCTTGCTCGAGCGTTTTTACGGATTTTCTCGCGCAAATGTTTAACCGAATCTATAGATGAAACTTTAGTTACTGCAGAAGATTCGCTTTGCTCGCCAAACGAAGAGAAAATCTCTTCTGCAGGTAATCCAGCARTAGCGTCGTCATGGGCAACAATTTGTTTCTGAGTYCTAGTATTATGTYACGTCATATGGTTGTTTCTATTTGTTTTTTCCGCTGCCGTGTGGGATTTGGAAAGTTGACTTTGAMTTAACACAGAATGGCGACTTCCTCTCGAGCTTGAGGTGCTTTCACGATGATCTGTTGACCTTTCATCGTAATTCATACCATTAAAGTCATCTTCTTCGTCTGCATACTCTGTACGTGTTGATGTCTGTTTGCGAATAGTTCTCTTCAATAACACAGAACTTCCTTCTTGTTTGACCTGTTGCCAGTCGAGATTAAAGTTTGGTGACTGTTTCTTTTGAGCAGCTGTCATTTTAATTTGTTTACGGAACATTTCCATGACATTTTGAGACGTATCCTCAATTTCTAATTCCTCATCACTATCAACTGTYCTTGGGGTTCCTGAAGAGCTTACTCTCAAACCCATGGCTATCGCCAGTTTTTTCCTCAATGCTCGTCCTTCTTTGCCTTTAGCAGTAATYTGGAGTTTTGATTGATCTGTTCCAGCAGGTTTAATGCGTATTTCATTAGCTGCTCTCAAACCCTCTTGAAACTCCATTTTCTTTCCTGAATCCTGTAAAAAGTTGCTCATTGAGAATTATATTGCGATTATTATAGTTTTAAGAAAGTAAACATCCCATAAATTTCCTGTTACAAGAACGTTTCGTGTCCGCTAGTCTTGCATGTCTTCCGTCMCGCAAGCTTTTAACGAATCAACCAACAATAATCTTGTACTTCATTCTGTGTTATTATGGCTATCTTTGTCTTTTAAAAGGTTATTTTTAGAATTCCGGTTTGAGTTGACGTCAATCCATATATCGAGTTGTAGTTACAGTGCTAAAAACCTTTAAGAGTTGCAGTGTTTATATTAGCGACAATCAAAAGTTCAATGTTGAGTTTAGCGAAATATGAACTCATTAGAACGGGCGCAGTCGGCGGTCTCTAAGAATTATTGCGTGACGAAGAATTTCAAAAGCTTTAGGTATTTCATGCACTTTTAATTTTGTACAAATATCTTAGCGTCGCGTCATCGTTCATTTTCATTGATCACCTGCCTGATTAAACCTTTCATTTCAACGCTTCTTTCTTAGAAATTGAATGTCTTTGTTTTTCTTTCACTAAACATCATAAGAGTTATGCACAAAAGTGGTTCTGTTTCATTAAAAAGTTGTTTTTGAAATGAGTTTTAATATAAAGAAGGAACTAGAAAGATGACTTTCATGAATGATATCAAAACAGAAGATAACCCTTCGAGTAGAGAGATCTTTAATTAATAATGGCAAAAAGAGATGTTTCATACAAATCATTTAAAATGGGAGGAAAAAGTAGAGAAAAAGAAAAATTACGGCACTAGAAGTCTTATAGGGAGTTTTGTGCTCCACATGAACACCGAAAGGAAGGCTGTTCTTCTGACAAGATTCAACGGTTAATAATGAAATAATTGAATGAAATGAAAAAAATGAATCAATGTTGACTCAGATTTCCAGATGTCCCAGATATCGTTATGAACATCTAATACAATATTCACAATATATCAGATCATGTTCCAGGAAAATACGGAAATTAATATGAAGAAAGGACACATAAAATACAATATAATACAATATAGTGCTGTATGTACATCTTATTCTTTATTCCTCTCTTTTTCTCTAAAGTTATTTGATATTTTACTTTCAGTTATGCTAGTATTTTGTTCGATTTTTGGGTTTCCTGTGTRTCTGTTACAATCCTCCACGTCCATATGTCAGGAACGCCTGACGATTTCTACGTTTTATGAGCGTTTTATCCGATCTCGTTACAGTCAGTAACTACTTCTGATTTAAGAGCAGATCTGACTCATTATGGGGAAAGAAAAAGGTGGTTTCTTAACACCCAAGGCTATCAGTAATCGGATCAAGGCCAAAGGCTTACAGAAATTACGTTGGTTTTGTCAGATGTGTCAAAAACAGTGTCGAGATGAGGTAAGTTTCTTGCATCCAGTTCAATAGACTAAAGTATTCTTYAAATGAAATCATTGCTACTCTCTTTGTAGAATGGTTTTAAYTGCCATACGTCCTCAGAGTCTCACCAAAGACAGCTGCTACTCTTTGCTGACAATCCACATAAATTCATTGATTCGTTTTCAAGGTAAGATTTAAACAATCAACCTCGCACYGGAAAAAACATGCTGGTACGGTATTCAAACGACAAAATTGCATATAAGACAACTTCACACTAGCATAAGTAAACGAAGTATTCTTCTGTTTGTTGTTTATCTATTTCTTACGAAGGAARTTTCAATATTTTAGGGAATTTCAAGATGATTTTCTCAAGCTATTGAAAAGAAGATGTGGTAAGCTTGAATGAAGGGGAAGTTACTGTTGAAAGAGTATTGATTGCTTTGTTTACTATTAAAGGGACTAAGAGAGTGAGTGCTAATCAGATATATCAAGAATACATCAGTGACAGATTGCATACTCACATGAATGCTACGCAGGTACAGCAGCCATTATGCTTSTTGTCTGCCTCAATTGTTGTCACCATCSTCT